ACAACCTATGATGGCCCTCCACTGAAGAATGGATGAAGAAAATGTGGTACATCTACACTATGGAGTACTACTCACCAGAAAAACACAATGAAACATTAAAATTTAAAGGCAAATGGATGGAAGTAGACAAAACCATCCTGAGTGAGGTAACCCAGACACAGAAAGAAAAGCATGGTATTTACTCTCTCATAAGTGGATATTAGACATAGAGCAAAGGAAAGTCTAGAGTCCACAACATTAGAGAAGCTAGGAAACATGGAAGACCCTAAGAGAGACTTATATGGACTCCAGCAATGGAGAAAGGGACAAGATCTCCTGAGTAAATTGAGAGCATCAGGGAGCGGTAAGGAGGTAGAAGAAAGAGGAGAGGAGAAAGGGAGTGGGAAGACAACATGAGGGATCAAGAAAGTCAAGGTAGAGAAGGAGCATAGAAGGAGAGCAAGAAAATAAATACCTAAATAGAGGTAGCCATCACAGGCTTTACGAGAAATCTGGCACTAGAGAAATCTCCAGGGATCCACAAGGATGATCCCAACTAAGAATCTAAGTAATGGTGGAGAGGCTACTTTAAATGCCCTTCCCATATAATGAGATTGATGACTACCTTAAATGCCACCATAGAGCCTTCATCTAGTAGCTGATGGAAGGAGAAACAGAGATTCCCAGCTAAACCCTGAGACAATGGAATCCATTTTAGAGAGGGAGGAGTGATAAGCAAACAGGTTAAGACCATGCGAGGGAGACCCACAGAGACAGTTGACCTGAGCAAGTGCGAGCTCACAGATCCCAGTCTGACAACTGGAGAACCTAAATAAGACCAAACCATGTCTCCTGCAGTTGTTGGGACTGGGCAGTCTACAGGGCCTATGGCAGTGGGATGAGTATTTATTCCTAGGGCATGAATAAGATTTGGGATCCCATTACTTATGGACAGATACTCTCTCAGCCTAGATACTTGGAGGAGTCCCTAGCTCCTGGCCCAAATGAAGTGACTTACTTTGATGATCCCCCATGGGAGGCATTACCATCCCTGGAGAGTGGATGGGGAGACATAGCCTGGGGGCGCTGGTGGGGGAAATGGGAGGACAAGACTGAGAGGTAACAAAGATTGGTGTGTAAAATAAGATTGTTTTTAATTTAAATAAAAATTAATTTACAAAATAAACAAAATAAAAACCCTAATACATGCCTGAATGAATAGTCTAACAGGTGGAATGTTTATGGAGTAAACAGAACAAATCCAAAAGTGGAAACACTACAGAAAAACAGAAGTTTCGTACCTTTAGAAGGCCACAGTAGCTCTGAGAGACATGTCAACATCCAAAACTATCACCAAGTTGAGTCTAGGATTGTATTTCAGTAGGCAGTCTTTCTGAGCCAAGCATAATAGCCCAGATTCCACCACCAATGCATCACACATACTGAAACATCCTCAACTACGCAGGTGTTAAGTGATCCTGTGTATGAGATGTCACATTTGTCCATCATGTGGTAACCCTGAGATTTGCCAAACACATGTTCCCGATGTCATACTTGGCTCCTGCAGGGACCTGGATGGATGGATGCTTTTGAGCAAGCACAGAACTACTTGGCCAACCAAAGTGTTAGTATAGGTGGTTTCATGTCATGAAACCAAAAGGAACTGAGGGGTCTATCTCTGGTCCCGTGTGATTACACATTTGTTGCCATGAAGGAATAAAAGTTACTCACAGGTAACATTTATGTAGACTGGGACACATTATGTTACACTCACTGAGTCTCAAGTTACACACCTATGGCCTTCTCTGCCAGTCCTAATGAAACTGAGAAAAGTGATAGTCTGTTGATCCTTGACAGCTTCACTCTGATACCTTACGAGAGACTCTGACCATTTATACATCACAGAGTAGGTTATATACTGAGAATAAGGTTCACATGTTAATGTTACCTAGTCGTTGACTGCCACTGAGAGGAGTAATTCCTTATGGTTGTATATAGCAAGGCTGTACAGACACCAGAGAAGATGTGGCTCTGTTTGGGACCTCTGACACTTATGAGGGTCTAATTTGAGTAGTGTTGGCCTCTCACCACCTCCTTGCTGACCAAAGTATGAAGTAAGGTGAATCAGATGGATGGTATCCAAGTGCTCAGAGATGGTGGGGCCTCCTGCGCTAAGAGGAAGAAGTACAGACTTTGTTACATGTGAGCTGAGATAAAGAACTTAATGGTAAACAGACCTAGGATGGCCGTGTAGCCCAGAGTGCTGTGTCCCTCCAAATGCACTGACCACCTCAGCTCAGCCTGGGCCAGTGCCCTCCAAAACTTTGCTGTCTAAGGCTGTCCTAAAGATAGGTGGTGATGAGAATTCCCTGTTGCTTCCCTGAGTTTTCTGACAACCTGTCCTCAGGACTTGATGTCTGAACAGAAACCTCACCAGGATGCTAGAAGCAGGCCTGCTTCCAACTCAGTGGTCCAGCTGGACCACAAAATGGGCAGTTCTTCTTAGATAGTTCATGACTGACATGAGCCACTGGTTACCAAAGGATGAAGCATGAATCTAGGCATGATCTAGGAATGTATCAGGGCCCTAGAATACCAGCCTCAATTACAACTCAGGGTTCATAGGAGAATGCTATGACGAGCATGGGGACTAGAAAACTCTGAGAGTGAAATAAATAATCCACTATGTGCTTTTCCACATCCGTTTCTTTATTGTTCTGCCAACCTGCAAAGTTTTCTGCATGTATACATACATACATACATACATACATACACAACACACACACACACACACACACTCAGCAATTCTCTGGCAATAGGAGCAATAGGACTTGCATTTCTTAGGGTCATAAAAACAGATAGGTGCTACACAGAGGGTATAACTCTCAGCCTCCTTTGTGGCTCAGCGTGGACATGACTTGTGAGATGCCCAGGCATTTTTAAGAGGCAAAGGGGTAAATTGAGGAGGGGATTGTAATTTCTAAGAAGTGAGAGGGGAGTTCATGTGTTAAACTACATTCCTAAGTGTGGCTGGTAAAGATAGATGTTTGTAATCTGTGAACATATAAAAGGGGTGATGAGTGCGGCAATGCTGTGCTGCACTCTGTTTTGCATTTCAGGCAGCGGGGAACAGTGTCATTATAGACATGGCAATCTGCATAAGCTGCAGAAGAAAAACGTTTTTAAAAGAGTAACATTATTGCTATTATAAGTGAAATTCGATACCTTACAGTTCAATTTCAGAATTCTATGACTTTCGTGATTACTCAATACTTGTTTGCTAACTGTTGAGTGACCCAGATAAAACAGACACCTTCCAAGAAACCCAGCACATACAGAGATAGAAGTATGAAGAAACACAAAACCAATGAGACTTGACAAAATGAAAACTCTTTTTGTTTTATTTCTCAAGACAGTGTTTCTCCATATAAACTTGGCCACTCTGGGACTCCCTTTGTAGTCCTGACTGGCCTCAGCTTCACAGAGATTTACCTGTTTCTGCCTCCCGAGTGGTGCCTAATTAAAGGTGAATGCCATCTCCACCCACATAAAACGAACAGTTGTTAAGGATAAAAAGAGGCAAACTAGGAGTAGAATACTATTCCAGTGCAGTAGTAGGCACACATGGAAACACAGAGACAACTGAATTCAGTGGGGACACTGAAAATTCTGTCTAAGACCTGGATCAGCACAAGGATGCTGCTGTGGCCGCGTGTGTTCAACAAATGTGAGAGACGACCCTCCCCCTGACCATCTACAGCACTACAAGAAACAGGACCTGAAGCTCACCTAGACAGCACAGAAAAGAAGCCTGGTGGTTAAAACTGATGGAGAACTAGCCTCGATATTATGAATCAGTAAAGGCATTTGACAAAGTGAATAGTTTTTAATTTTGAAAGCAGCCAAACTGGGTGAGAAGATAGGCCAGTGCATTAGGCATACATGTGGAAACCCAGCCAACTCAGTGCTGAGTGGGGATGCTGACAGCTTTCCCTCTAGATCCAGGATAGACAAAGGATGCTGCTGTGGACACTGCTGTGCAGTATTCCCTAGACAGAGCAATTAGGAAAGACAAAGAAATGAAAGGTGGCCAGTCAGCAGTAAAATGTGTCTGCAGATGACAAAGCTTATCTGTAGAAAATCCTAAAAATTCTACTGAAATTTCTGAAACTGCTGAGCAAACAAACCCACCTGAGCTGTACTTCTGTAAATGAATAATGACCACAAACAATTGGATGCCCTCTTTTGATACATGCATAGAGAAAGAAATAGATGGGTTGGACAGGACTGGAGGGAATGGACTGGATTAAAAAAGATTTGAAAGTAGACAATGCTGATGGCCACATGATAAGATAAATGTGTTCAGGTCCACTTATTTTCCCACTTCAAAATGGCCAAATGGGAAATCCCATGTATGTCTCAAAAAATGTTAACAAGAAAAGTAATCTTGTGGGATATCACCCTATGAGTGCCAATCTCTGGATAGAAACAGTGCATGTCAGCCTTTTGCCATAGTTTTTTACATGTGTGCCTCAAACAGAGCATCCATACTGTTTAGTAAACAGTTATGTGTACAAAGAAACAGAGCAGTCTCTTTTCCTGTCACTCTTTCTTACATCATATGTATGACTGGTGCCTAGGCAGAATTGGGTTTATATGATTCAATTAAAAGTGCAATATATCTGAGCATATGAGAGGATGCCTTTATCTCCATGCAAACACTGCCCCATACTAACAGGGGAGTCAGAACATCCAGAATTTGGGGGGCTCACGAAATTGGCTTCCATGAATTCTGAGAACTATCTATATGTTGGATCCACAACCTAAGCTCTGAAATCTTGCAATTATGTTCACTGTATTAATTTCTTCTTTTCCCTTTAGAAAGCCTATCCTGGTGCACACATTTATCCCAGGATTACAGTCATGAGTCACCATGCTGGCTGTACCTGATTGGTGACCGATCATTTCCACCTCATAACTTTTCTTGTTGCTGTACCAGATCAATAAAGAAATGCCCCAAATCTGTAGGATGAGAGGAGAGAAGTCACGCATTCTTCATGACCAAGTTGAGTGGGAGACTGGTCTTTGAACTGACTGGGTTGGACACCACACATTGATACTCTCCAACATCCTCACTCCTGAAAGGATCGATGAAGAGTTGGCACTTTGTTGGGGACAGTGTCATCCTCTCTGTAAGCTGCAGACTGTGATTATTGAAAATCCAATGGAAGGAGACTCCAGTATCACCTGAGAGGCAGGTGAGGACCACAGAGCTCTGTTCTGGAACTGTAGGTGCTGATGACTCGGAGAATCGGCTGTGTCACAGGCTCTGTAAAGCAAAAGAGGGAGTGTAAATGACAATAACCCTTCAGACGTATCCATCACTCCCTCTGTAGTCAATGGACACTCAATAAACCCTCCAGGGTAGAGAATTCGAGGCTATGACAATACACAGATTTCTTGTGGCTTAGAGCTGTCACCCATGGCCTGTGTGGCCCTGGTTTAATCTCTGTGTATCCTGGTCCCTACTTCCCTTCACAAGTGCACACAGTGCATGATTGTTGTCAGGTCCCAAAGCTAAGCTTAGATGTGAGCAATGGTCTGATCTTTGGATGGGGAGCTACCCAAATCAGCAGCATCTTTTACCATTTAGCTAAAGGAGAGTATTCATTAGGCTGAACCCTAAGGACAAAGAATACCCTGAAGACCTGTCTCCTCTGTCCCTCCCTGGGCAGCCTGGACTTCCTCTGAAGTTTCCTAAGCCCATAAGAGGAGTTGGCTTATTCCTGGCAACTGTCCACTGAGATTCAGATGTAGAAGATGCCCCAATGACCTTGCTAACTGCAGCAATCATGGCAGTACACAGTTGTTTCCACACTCTGTGGGTCTTGAACAGTTAGTTAAAGCCTTGTTCCGAGTCAGCTCTGACACAAAGTCAAATTCTAGCCCTGGACACAAGTTCTCCAGGGTAAACAGAGTTGAGTCTGGAACAGAGGTCTGGATCTAGAGCTGCCTGATGCTCATCTCACCATGGTGAAGCTAGTTCCATGATAGACTATTCCTGATTCCCATGACATCTTGCTCAAGGCCATATTCATGATGAGCACCTCAAATATTCTGGGGCAGACTGACATCCTTGGGCTGAATTACTCACCACACAGCCTCCTCTATAGGTGGAGTCAGGTGAGGGACTATGGTCTTTTTTAGTATGTCTACCCAATGTGTGTCCTGTACTAAGTACTCAAACCCATATGTGGAGACATAGTATAGAGGAGACGCAATCAATCCCACACAGTCAATCCTGTGTGTGCAAAATGAAATGACCCCCACGAGAGCCCAGAGGTCACAAAGAATCACTTACTATATATGTGGAGGTACACATGTGCCTCTTGAACTTCAAACTTTCTATTTACGGTTTGTAGGACGTATAATCCAGTGTCCTCCTGGGTGGTGTTGTGGAACAGCAGGGATATGTTGGGGTACATGGTCACTTTATTCTTGTAAGCGGGTGCCAGCCAACTTTTCTTAGCAGTTAACTTCGATGCAATTTTAAGTCTGTTGACAATGTCTATCTCTTTGGACCAGGAAAAAGCTCGAAGTTTCTCTGGAATATTGTGAGCCAGCAGGAGAGCATTTTCCCCTTCAACAACATTGAGTGGCTCTGATTCAATAGAGAGCTTAGCAGCACTGGGAGGAAGCCTGCAGGCTAAAAGGAAGGGTAAAAGGAAAGAGAGACAAATGCATCAATACTGAGACCTTTGGTGAACAACTGGAGCTTGATTATTGTGAAACTTGTATAACCACTCAGATGAGGTGGGTGGGAATGTCTGTCAAATTCAGGGGAGAAAGTAGCAAATGACCCCCTGACCTCTGTGCACCTGACTGTGTCACTTCCTGTGGAGATCTGTCTCCTGGTGAGGAAGTCCTGTGTATATGTAAATAAAGCACTGTTGGCCAATAGGGAAGCAACATAGGTGGGACTAGGAGTCTAGGAGAATTCTAGGAAATGTAGTGAAGGGAGTCATCACCATGTGATTCCTGGGAAGAGGGGACACATGTCTGGATTCTCGGTAAGATAAAACCTTATAAATATGTATGTATGTATTAGTAATTATGAGTCAATAATTAAGTTAGAGCTAGCCAATGAGTAACAAAAGCAAATGATCAACAGCTTCAAAATTAATTTAGTGTCTTGTGTGTTATTTGCGGGCTGAAGGCAGCAACAGGAACCAGGCAACAGGCAGGAAGAGTACATCTTACAGTCTCCTCATGTGTTTACACACTCAATGTTCTCACATGCCTGCTCACACTCAGAAAAGGTGGAGGTGAGGTGCCTTCCCTCACTTCTTCCTCTACAGATCCCCAGTCTTCACATTGTGATCTCCTTGATCTCTTATCTCTCTGTATGCAGTCAACCCATGACTTCACTCTGAGATGGCTTCCTAGTCTGTCTTCCAGTCCTCTAAAGCTGGGGTCTCATTAGAAAAACTAGGTTGATCTTTCAGGAAGGCCTGACACATGGACAGGCTAAGATACATGTGGGTGGATGAAAGAACAAATGTTCTTGGATTTTCATGTCCAGGTATTTATGAAATTCTCCTGTGTGGAGCTACTGACACCGGTCACAGATCCAGCTTACATTAACTCATGCATGTGTGTGGAGTGGGTGTGTGGGTGTTGGTGGATACGAACATGTTTGGGAATGAGCATGTGTTTGCCATCCTGTGTGGATGTCTGAATGCAGGAAACAGCACCCAGATTGAAGCCCTTCCTATCCTTCTACTCCAGAAGACTCCAGGCAGGCTCTGAGATCCCTTTCCCCCTCAACTATCAGACAGTGTTCTCCTCTCCAGTGAACAGGAAACACTACCAGGGGCTGCACTGTTTGCAGAGAAGTGCACAGCGGGCCTCCACAGGGCCTGCCATGTGTTCTGCCTCCCTCTGTGGAGAACAGCTTTTCCTCCAGCACTTCCTCAATCTGTACAGATTTCCACTCTCTGAGTTCTGCACTTGAGAGGCAGGAGCACTTCTGAGGTTAATGTGAATGTTGTCAGGAATGGGGTCCAAGGGCATTCTCTGTCCTTACAACTCTTAGTCCTAGCTGGTATCCCAGTCAGGTTCTCTATCTATTTTTCAGTCCTGCACATCATGCAATGAGGAACAAGTAAGTTCCCTGTGGTCACCCTTTCTTTCCCTATGCTAGAAGGAAGGAGACTGAACATGGTCCATGAGCATAGTACTCTTCTCAGACAAATGAAGCACCAGTAGGTCAGATTAATCTGTGGGAGGGACAGAAATGGAAATCACATATGATTCTTTCATCTTCTCCAGGAAACCAGCAACTCAGGGTTTGACTGTGAGGAAATCACCCCCCTGGGGATCAAAAGGCTGAGTGTAACTCCTGTCTGGGAGATGTAAAGACCATCAGAGCTTGTTTCTATTTGTTTTCATGAGGGAATTCCCTAGGGTGGACCCCACAGGACAAGTACATACCAAGTGGACATATGTCCTCTGTTCTTTACCTTGGGGAACATGATCTTCCTGTGAATTGTCACAAGTCCATCAGAGGACTTGGCAGATAGCCTGGGCAACTGTCTAGCTCTGCCCTCCATGCTGAATCTCAGAAGGAGGTACCCAGGTGACCTAGCTTGAATGTGGCTCTCAGAAAAGTACATGATATGAAATAAGAACACCAAAAAAAACTGTTGTTCCCTCTCAGCTCCATAAGGAAGTAAAAGTCCAAACCTGGAAAAATACTCTCCAAGACCACTTGCAATCAAGGCTGGGAGAGAGGTCTGGAGCCAGGGATTCCTGGTGCTAACCTCTCTCTGAAGAATCCAAGATATGCCGGATGACAATAGGGTCATTCTCAGTACCATGTTCATGGTGATAACAAAAAAGACAAGACAGAGTCTAATTCACTTGAACTGACTTACCCTTTCCCATCACACACACACACACACACACACACACACACACTGAGGCACACACTTCAGTAAAGGCAAGAGTCTGATCTATAGCTATTTGGCTCTAGAATGTGTGTCCTGTACTAAGTGCTCAAACACCATCATGGGACACAGTACCGAATAAAGGTATTCAAAGTTGAGATGGGTGAGTTCTATGTGTACATACAATCCAGGAATGAATCATCACAAGAATCACTTACTGTCAAACTGGAGTTTCACATGTACTAGTTCAGTTTTCTGATCTGTATTCAGAGTGCGTAGGGTGTAGAATCCGGTGTCATTACAGGTGATGTTCTGGAGCAGCAGGGATCCATTACTGTACACTATCTCTCTACCACTGTGACCAAGGCCAAATACAGTTGTACTGCTGGCTACATGGTGCCAGGCAACCTCACTGTTCTTGGACACAATAGCTCCTTTGTACCATAAAAAGGCTTCAAGATTCTCTGGAATACTGTGAGCCACTAGAAGAACACTTGCTCCTTCTGCAGTGCTGTGCATTACTGGTTCAATAGTGGGCTGGGCACAGGTGGATGGGCACTCACAATGAGAAGCTAGAAGGGAAGACAGAGATCGGTCAGTAGTTGGACCTTTGTGTTTGACTAAGGTGAAGACCTGTGTCCTGAGCAGGTATGTTCATATCTTAGCTTAGGTGCTTGAGTGGGTGTCTTCCTGTCATTTACTAAGTTCCATGTCCTACGTGTACCTGGACTTGTGATTCTGTATGTATGGTGCTCTCTCCTCAGACATCAATATGACCCCGGTTCACCACCCTCAGACTCCTGCTCACATTCAATGTAGATTGGTGTTGGGGAGATGACTTCTAGCTCCTTCACTCTAGACCATAACACCCTGGCTGGATGACATTGTGTTGTTTATGATCTTTCCTCTTGTGATTCCAGTCAACACCTGACTTCACCTTCAAGCTTTCTTTACCTTTAGTACACTGGGACTATGGAATTGTGAGAACCTGGATTTGTCCTATAATTTTTGAAGAAATGATGCCTGGAAAATGTGGTGATGTCTGGCTTAAACATATAAAGCTTGTCTGAAGATCAGAGATTGGAGCTTGCCCCTCTTTAATCATAGAGGTCAAGATGTCTTGTACAGATAGACAGGAAGTGAGATGTCTGGTCAGAAACAGGAAGTGAGATGGCTAGGCAGAGACAGGAAGTGAGATGCCTGGGTGGACAAAGTATATACGTGGAAAGAAATAGGAGCATGCTTTTTTCCCACTTGGAAGCTAGTGAGGAAAAAGTAACTTTGGCCTGCTCCTTCTTCTCTATGATCTCGCAGCAATTTCCTCTATGTTTGACACCTGGTTTTATTATTTAGACTAATTAAGAATGCCATTTACCAGTCTAATCAAAAGCAATCTACAGATTCAAGCTGGTGTAGCAATCCAAATATCTAAAAAATTAGACTTCAAACAAAACTTAATCAAAAGAGATGAATTTTAAAAAGGGGGAAAAAAATAAAGAGAAGCAGTCATCAAAACTCTCCCAAGGAAAAAAGAAAACAACAGGGCCAGATGGTTTCAGTGCAGAACTCTACCAGCAATTCAAAGAAGATCTAATTCCACTACTCCTCAAAGTGTTCCACAAAGTAGAAGCAGAAGGACCATTGCCAAAAATCTTTTATGAGGCTACAATTACCTTGATACCTAAACTACAAAACAGACATAAGAAAGAGAATACAGACCAATCTTCCTCATGAACATTAATGCAATAATACTCAATAAATACTAGCAAATCGAATCCAAGAACACATCAGAAAAATCATCCACCATGACAAAGTAGGCTTCATTCCAGGGATGCAGGGATGATTCAACATACAAAAATCCATCAATTTAACCCACCATACAAACAAACTGAAAGACAAATATCCCCTTGATTTTCTCATTAGATGCTGAAGAAACCTTTGACAAAATCCAACACCCATTAATAATATAGGAATTAGAGAGATCAGGGATAACAGCGACATACCTAAACATCACAAAAACCATATATACCAAAACAACAGCCAACATCAAACTAAATGGATAGAAACTCAATGTGATTACTCTAAAATCAAGAACAAGACAAGGATGTCCACTCTCTCCATATCTCTTTAGTATTGTACTTGAAGTTCTAGCTAGAGCAATAAGACACCAAAAACAGGTAAAGGTGATAAAAATTGGAAAGGAAGAATTCCAACATTAATTATTAGCAGATGATATGATAAAGTTCCATAAGTCACCCAAAAAATTCTACGAAGGAACTCTTACATGTGATAAACACCTTCAGCAATGTAGCAGGATACAAGACTATCTCTAAATCAGCATTATTATATACAGATGATAAATGGACTAAGAAAGAAATAAGAGAAACAACACCCTTTACAACAACAACAAACACCATAAAATATCTTGGTGTGATGCTAATCAAACAAGGGAAAGACCTGTATAATAATAACTTTGAGTCTTTAAAGAAAGAAATTAAAGAAAATACCAGAAAATGGAAAGATCTTCCATGTTCTTAGATAGAGTAGGATCAACATAGTAAAAATGGCAATCTTGCCAAAAGCAAAATACAGATTCAACGCAATTCCCGGCAAAATACTGGCAAAATTCTTTACAGACCTTGAAAGAACAATACTAAAATTTATGTGGAAAAACAAAAACTCAGGATAGCCAAAACAACAAAAGAACTTCTGAGGGCATCACCGTCCCTGACTTCAAGCTCTATTATTGAGCTTTGGTCTTGTAAAAAACTTGTTATTCGCACAAAAATAGACAGGTAGACCAATGGAATTGAATTGAAAACCCATATATAAACCCACACATCTACAAACACCTGATTTTTGACAAAGAAACTAAAATTATTCAATGGAAAAAAGAAAGCATCTTCATCAAATGGTGCTGGCATAACTGGATGCTGTCATGTAGAAGATCATAGGTAGATCCTTATCTATTACCATGCACAAACTAAAGTCCACATGGATCAAAGACCTCAATGTAAATCCAGTCACAATGAACCTCTTAGAAGATAAATTGGGAAGAAACCTTGAACACATTGTTACAGGAGACCACTTCCTGAACATAACACCAGTAGCACAGACACTGATATCAACAATTAATAAATTAGACCTCCCAAAACTGAGAAGCTTCTGTAAGGCAAAGGACACAGTCAACTAGACAAAATGACAACCCGCAGAATAAGAAACGATCTTCACCAACCCCGCATCTGACACAGGGCTGATTTCCAAAATATAACAAAGAACCCAAGAAGATAGTCACCAAACACAAAAAAATCCAATGAAAAAAATGGGGTTCAGAACTAAATAGATAATTCTCAATAGAGCAATATAAAATGGCTGAAAGACATTTAAGAAAGTGCTCAACATCCTTAGCCATTAGGGAAATGCAGATCAAAACAACTCTGAGATACCATCTTATACCAGCCAGAATGGCTACAATCAAAAACACCAGTGACACTATACTGGAGAGGATGTGGAGAAAGGGGAACACTCCTCCATTGCTGGTGGGAGTGAAAACTTATGTGGCCACTTTGGAAAACAGTATGGTGATTTCTCAGGAAAATAGCAACTAGTCCACCTCAAGATCCAGCAATTCCACACTTAGGCATATACCCAAAGGATGCACATTCACACAACAAAGAAGTGTGTTCAACTATGTTCATAGCCACTTTGTTTGTAATAGCTAGAACCTGGAAGCAACACCTTTATCGAATAATGGATGAAGAAAATGTGGTACATTTACAAAATGGAAAATTAGTGGAAAAAACAATAAAGTCTTGAAATTCACAGGCAAATGGATGGAAATAGAATAAACCATTCTGAGTGAGGTAACCCAGTCACAGAAAGGCAGGCATGGTGTGTACTCACCTACATATGAATATTAGCCGTAGAGCAAACCACACCACCAGAGAAACTAGAAAACGAAGAGGACCCTAAGGAAGAAACACATGGTCTCCCGGAAAAGGGGAAATGGACAAGAACTCCTGAGCAAATTGGGAGCATGGGTGGGAGAAGGGAGGGAGGCAGGAAAAGGAGAAGTGGAGAACCTAAGGGGGAGGAGAATAAGTGGGATCAGAAAAACTGAGTCAGGGGAGGAATAGAGGACAGAAAGAAAAGAGAAACCTTAATAGAAGAAGCCAATATAGGTTAAAAGAGAAATCTGGCACTAGGGATATGTTCAGAGACCCACAAAGATGACATCAGCTAAGATTCTAGGCAGTAACGGAGAGGCTGCCTTTGATGCCCTTCCCCTATCATGAGATTGATGACTACCTTGTATGCCATCCTAAAGCCTCCATCCAGTAGCTGATGGAAGCAGAAACAGACATCCACAACTAAGCACTCTGCCATATTTCCTGAATCCAGTTGTAGAGAGGGAGGAGTAATGAGCAAAGGAGTCAAGATTGTGCTGGAGAAACCTACAAAAACAGCTGACCTGACCTAGCAAGAACACAGGGACCCCTGTCACACAGCTGGGAAGCCAGCATTGGACCTGACCAAGCCCTCTAAATGTGGGTGCCAGTTAGAAGGCCTGAACAAACTACGGGAGCTCTTACAGTGGAAACAGTGTTTATCCCTAGTGCACAAAATGTTTTGGAAGCTCAGTCCCTATGGTGGGATAATATTTCAGCCCAGACACAAGTGGAAGGCCTAGGCCCTCCCCCAAGTGATGTGGTAGGCATTGAAGATCCCCCCAAGGAGCTACGTTGTCCATGGCGAGTCTCAGGAGAAGATGTCCAGGCACCTAGCATAAGTGTGTCTCTCATGACAGAGCATTGGCTGCTTCCACATGGCAAAAAGCTTTGACTACTAGAAAGAACTGTTCCTGACCTAAGGAAGTCAAAATCCAAACTTAGAAAAATGTTTCTCATGGACACCTATAGTTGATTCTGGGACAGAGGTCAGGAGCCAGGGCACCCTAGTGCTCACATCTCTCTGAATATCCCATGTTTTCCTCAGCCAGACCCAATGTCGATTCCCTCAGGGTCTTTCTCAAGAATACATTCCTGGTGAGAATCTGAGAGTCTAGACAGAGGTGATCTCCTAGGCTGCTTTACCCACCATCGAGCACCTGGGTACAAGGTGAATTCAGATGAAGGATTCTGATGTACTATGGTTATTTTCCACAATGTGAGTCCTGCACACAATTCTCAAACCCCAACGTGGGGGCACAATGCACAGGAGAGGTGTGCACGTACCAGGGCTGGCACTTCTGCGTATGTCTGGTGGAATGAACCCCACCCAGCAAGGATAATTCACAAAGAAGTACTTACAGAGCACTTGAAGGTACGTGGATGCAGTTGATACATTTTCTGTTGGTGTTCTTAAGATTCCTAGAGTATAGACTCCTGTGTCATTCTGGGTGACATTTTGAATCCACAGGGATCCATTTTGGTACATTGTCTCTCTACCACTGTGTAAAGGCCCGAGTGCACGTACATTGCCATTCGGTGCATACAATGCGATTGCATTGTCTATTATTGCCTCGCCTTTGAACCAGGTTAGGGATAAAACATGGTCTGGCAGATCATGGACAAGGAAAAGGACATTTTCTCCTTTGACCACTTGGGACGGCACTGATTCAATGGTGACTTCGGCAGTGGTGGTTGGATGCCAGCATATTAAAAGGGACGCTAGAAGGGAAAAGAGGAAAAAGTGTAAAAGTGTGATCACAACTCTGCTTAGGTGTTTGGTTAGTGCTGTGCCCATCCTCCTTGATAGAGATGAGCAACATGACCTCCATTGCTCAGAGTCTCTGACTGGGTCTTTGCCTCTTCATGGAACGATCTTCTTGCTTGTGTGACTGCCCCCAGTGTCTCCATTTCCCTCCTCACATGGAGTGTTTGGTGTGAGGAATCCACTCAGACCTCCTCCTGTAGAGAGTCCTCAATTTAGACTTTTTTCTCTGTACCCTTTGAGTTATCAGTCAACACCTGGCATCAGTTTCTGAATACACTGACGTCCAGGCTGATAGAACCAGGGTTTTGTCAGGATGGGTTTAGAGCGACCGTTTAGGAAGGTTCAGTTCCTTAAAATTCTCAGAAATAAATGGAGAAGGAAAAATGGAATAAGCTGGGCAGTGGTAGCACAAGCCTCAAAGCCCAGTAATCCACAGGCAGAGGCAGGTGTTTCTCTGAGGGTGACACCAGCCTGGTTGCACAGTGAGTTCTAGGACAGCCAGGAATATGCAGAGAACTCTGCCTTGGGGTCAGGGAGAAAACAAAAGAGATGGAGAGAGGAAGGAAAGGAGAAGGAAGGAAGGAAGGAAAGAAGGAAGGAAGGAAGGAAGGAAAGAAGGAAGGAAGGAAGGAAGGAAAAACGATGAAAGGAAAGACAGACAGAAAAAAAGAAGGAAAGAGAAAACAGAAGGAAGAAATGAGAGGGAGGAAGGAAGAGACAGAGGAGGGAATGAGGGATGGAAGGAGGGAGGGAGGAAAAAAGATGTGTCCTTGGGTTTATCTACATAGTTCCCATTGTAGCTGAGGACAACATCCATACTCAAGAGAGAGTCCCAGTTTTCACATTTACATATACAGTATGTATATATTTGTGAAGGCATCTGTCTCATTGGGCACAGGTGCAGGTCAGGGCCACAGCACCGGTGTGGAGGAAAAAGGAGGGGCTGAAAAAGTCTGCTCTCTCCATCTACCCTGTGAGACATGAGCACTGAATTCAGGTTGTCATGTCTCCACACTCTGAACAATCTCTGTAACCCACCCCTGTTGAGATCTGGAGTCACCCTGTCATGACTGGGGGCATCAGGCTTCAGAACATGGCAGCCAGTGTAACTCACTTTGAATAGGAAATGTTGGGGCTTTTCCCTCCCCTCACCACCTCCTGTTGACTGAGAGCTTCAGGTTGCTGAGCCTCTGTCCCTCACTGTACCATCTGTGCCATAACAGCAAACAGAATCCTCAAGGCTCCTCTCAAGATCCTGTCCCCTTTTGGAGACTCCAGATGGCTTCTGAGTTCCAGTCCACCACAAGCAGAGAGTGGATACACTTACCTGTGAGCAGGAGCCCCTGCCAGAGGGTGCAGCCCATGCAGGGAATCACAGAGTACACCTTCATCTCTCCTGTCACTGTGCCGTCCTCCCTGTGAGGAGAGCTTCAGCTCCAGCAAGGTCCTCAGGCTCTGCTGTCCTGCTTCCTTTTGGGATGAATAGTCTCCCAGTCTTCCCAGATTTCAATGGGCTGTGTGTTGTTGGGTCTGTGTCCAAGGCACTGCTCTGTCCCTTCTGCTCTCAGTGCTGTCCTACACCCCTCTCCACTTCCCTTTATGTTTCTCCTCCAAGCAACACATTGAGATTCAAGGCTGATAAGCATCCCCATGCCCTCAGAGAACAATGGCTCATCCCAGGGCTGACACCTGCCCTGTCCTGTCCTTGGGTCAGTCAGCATCAACGAGGGAGCCTCCATCCTGCCAGTGTGTCCTTGTGGCACAGGGATCCAGCTGAGGACCCTGTGTGCCCTGCATCCTCAGTGCTCTGGGAAAGTGGGATTTACTCTCCCAGCAGGAAGGGGATAGTGTCTGAGGACTACAAAGGGACCGGCTAAGTGATGACTATGGATGAAAATATATCTTGCATATTATGCAGAGAGGGACAGACCACGAAGCACTTAGGACTATAATTAATGTATCCAAAAACTCACTCCCCTCAAAGTTCAGGGAACCATGGAAAACAGAGACTGGGGGAAGCTATGCCCAGAGGGGATGGAGGACACCCTCAAAACAGGTTCTCTAAATCACTGTACATAGAAAGTTCTGAGGCAGCTTACTGTGTGCTTTAATGGGTCTGGGTGGGTCTTAACGAATGTTCCTATTATATAGTATGGCCTCTAGCTGAGTGTTTCTATATGATGTCTGAGTGTGCAAATGAGTAGGGCTCTGAATCATGTTCCTTATCCTTCAGTTTGTCTCATTTAATTTAAAATTGTTTTTTGTTTAATCTTACTACGTTCATTACATTTATCTTATTTTATTATTAATCTTAAGAAGACAGTTTTCAAATGAAAGATAGAAAAGAAGTTGTATACGAACTGGAAGAAGTAGAGGGAGGGAAAACAATGATCAAGGTATATGACAAAAACTATTTTCATTAAGATGAATTATAAAAAATTTTTTTATCTGATGAATGAAGCGACAGGAATTTGCATCTTTCCAACAGAGAGATGGCAATGGAAAACTTCCCAAACACTCCAGAAGCTCTGTGGGAAACTGGATTGCTGTTTGGAAGGGAACTGTAGAGATAGGAATTTCTTTTTTAATTTTTTATTTTAATTTTAAATAGCTTGTTTTACATGTCAATCCCAGTTCCCTCTCCCTCCCCTCCTCCAGCACCCCCATCCCCCTCCAGCCTCCCACCCTATTGCCAATTCCTTCCACATAGAGTATATCTAGAGTCTGTCATTTTACTCAGGGTAGGGTCCGGGCACTTCTCTAAGAGTCTAGGCTGAGAGAGCATCCCTCTCTGTGCTATGGACACACGATGTCTGTTTGTATTCCAGGGATAAACACTGATCCACTGCTCAGGGCCCCATAGGTTGCCCAGGCCTCCTCACTGACACTCACATTCGGGGTCTGGATTGGTCCCATGCTGGCCTCCCCACTGTCGGTCTGGGGTCCAAGAGCTCTCCCCTGTTCAGATCAGCTGTCTCTGCTGGTTTTGCCAGCCCATTCTTTGCCATTTTGGTCATCACTCTTCTCTCTCTGTCACTGGGAAACTTTTTTAAAAACAGGAATATATCTTCCATCACTACTGTCAGCAGTCAAATTCCTTAGCCAGCAGAATGGCCCAGGAGCAGTTGTGTGAGGCGCTCCATGTCTACGGTGTTGGGAAAGAGGGGACCTGTGTGTCCTGGGAAGGACTGGGGGCTCCCTCTTTCTATGGAGAGCTTCAAGGCAAACTACAGCATTATGTGTTGGGTGAGCTCCTCCGTGATATTCCCGGATCACCATTGTTCTTTGCCCAGGTGATTTCTGGTGATAATTCTGTCTTGCCCAAGGATGGAGGGGACTTCAGGCTCCCCGTGCATAAAGATTTCCTCAGACACATGAAGCATCTCAGGGAAATAATTTCTTGAGCCTGTGTAACTGACATCGCCCCTTGGGGCTCACTGGAAGAACAGCAATCTCATGCCTAGGACTTCAGCAGGCATGGTCAACAAGTCAAATGTACACTGCCTAATTCCCTCAGCACAGCTCTAATGTGGCCCCTGTGATCCTGCTCCCTGTGCTCTTCAGAACTCCTAATTCCACTTACTGTAGGGTAGGTCTAGGCAAGGTTTCAGATTTTTCCTGGGAAGCCCTTGACTAAAGTTGAAATAGTGTGTATCCTGAGGTTAGGAATTCTCAGCAGAAAATTTCAGAGAAAAGTCCTTGGGAGTTTCCCGGAGACCAATGTATGGTGGCACCCGCACTTTCTGTTCTGTCAGTGGTGTCTACATCCTTGCTGCTCTTTGCCCACAAGGTGATGAAGGGTTTTCTCTTGAGTCAAAGGACATATACTCAGATGACTGTGTCTTTTGCCCTTTCCCATACACCATGCCATTTTTTTCTTGTGCTGTGATAAAAACAACAGCAGTTTAGGAGAAAGTAAATGGTCCATTTCCTTTCTGATCTGGGTCATAGTGTAGCACTGAAAGAAGTCAAGGCAGAAAACATGCTGCTTGATGCTCAGTCTCTAGATCATACTTAACAAGCTGTCTTACAAAACCAAAGGCCATCTACCTATGAATACTATTGTCCAAAATGGCCTGGGCCTTTCTGAATCAGTTCAGACAACCCATCCCACACATGGCCACAGCCAGATGTGATAACGACAGTTAATCAGTTCAGACTCTCCCCATCCTCCATCCCCTGCCCACAGGTGATGTTGCACTGTGTGAAATTAACAACTGCTACTAACTAGGACACTGTTTCAAACTAAGTCCTCCTTCTCCACAGGGAGATTTCAAAGGAAGTTGCCCATTCTCCAAGTGAGCATCACTCTTTGTTTGCCGTGGTCATCATATGTGCTGCTGTCCACCACCAGCCACTTCTGAACCCTCAGATCCAGGACAGAGCTCCAGGAAATCTAACCTGGGGTTTCACTTTTCTGACTCCCCAGATCGTGAGCCCAATCATACTGTGTTGGCCAGCACAGACATTGTGAAGAGTTACTGAAACAAAATCATCAAAACGGTAGCTCAATCCCTAAACAAGTATTGCCTCCCATACATGTTCATCACCTGGCTCTTCTGGTTCCATTGAAATCAGGGTGCTTAGCTGTGTCCCTGTGTCACAAGGAAACATAGGCAGCATGGAGGCTCCATCCTGGATGCTGACAGACCCAAGGCCAGGCCACAACAGGTGCCAGTGCTGGAATGAGCTATTGTTCTCTGAGGGCATGGGGATGCTTGTCAGTCTTGTTGATAATGTGTTGCTTCAAGGCAAAAGACAAATAGTTGAGAGAGATGTGGGACACCACTGGGAGCTGTAGAGACAGAGACTGCGCAAACCAGAAGGAAGAAGGGAAACAGGGTCTGGGGGCTGTGTCAGAGATGAAGTTCTCCTCAAAGGGAGGACGGCACAGTTTGAAGAGATGTGGCTATCATTGCTGCTTCTCTACAAACGGAGCGCTCCCTGGCAGGGGCTCCTGTTCACAGGTAACTGTACCCACTCTCTGACTGTGTTGCTGGAGGGAACTCAGAGGTGGGCTGGAGTCTTGAAAAGAGGATAGGTACTCAAAGGTGGCTCAAGCTTACTGTTTGCAGTCATGAGGCAGAAGGTACAGTGAGGGACAGAGGCTCAGCATCCTGAAACTCTAAGTGGACAGGAGGTGATAAGAAGAGAAAAGCCTCAATCAATTACCATTCAAAATCAATCACATTGTGACTGCCATGTTCCAAACCTTGATGTACCCAGCCAAATCAGGGTGACTCCAAATATAAATCAGCAGGGATGGCCAGTGAGATAGCTCAGTGTGTGGAGACATGAAAAGCTGAAATCAGTCCTCAGCTCCCACATGGCAGATAGAGGGAACAGACTCCTGCAGACTCTTCTCTGCCCTCTACACGGGTGCTCTGACATGGTCCCACACATGCGCACGCTGACACATGGGCCTTTACAAATACACACATATGCACAATATAAAGGATATCTAAAAATTTTTAATCAAACTTGATTATAATGATTGCCATTCACTCCAAACCATCACCTATGTAGATAACTGCATGGAGATGCCCTTTCTTCCCACGTTCGTTCATTCTGTCTTGCTCTCCTTTCTGTAAAGGTGTGTGAATCATTTCCAGGAACTGAATCTTCCTAAGAGGTCACACTAATAATCCATATCCTCACAAAGGCCTGGTTCTATCAGCCTGGAAGTCAGTGTACCAGGAAGCTGATGTCAGTGGTTGACTGACAAGACAAGGGATCAAAGGGGAAAAGTCATAAGGAAGGACCCTCTAAAGGAGGAAGCTGCAGTGGCTTCCTCACACCGAATACTCTTTTTAAAATTTTTATGTGAAATGAAAATAATCTTAATTTACATACCAGACTCAGTTCCTTCTCCTGTTCTCCATGTGCCCCACCAAACCACCATATCACCCTCCCTGTGTAATCCCCATGGTGGGTGAGGCCTCCCATGAAGGATCATCAAAGTCAGTCATATCACTTGGGGCAGAAGCTAAGTTCTCTGCCGTGTATCTGTGTTGAGTATCACTCCATATGGACATGGTCCCCCAGAGACGGGGCAAGGGTCAACTCCAAATACTCTTTGTGTGAGAAGGAATATGGGTACACTAACGGGGGCAGATAGGCAAGTGAGAAGATTATTCCATAGAGAGAAAAAGACACCATCAGAAGCTTAAGAGAATGGAGGTCCTGTTGCCCACCTCCATCATGGAGGGTGGACCCACTGCTTGCCAGACATGTAAGCTGAGTCAAGGTCACATCCAGTGAATACTGATTTTTTCGTCTCTTTTCCTTCTAGCCTTCCTTTTAATCTGTTGTCACTCACCCATCAATAGCTGACTTTTCTTTTTTATTTAAATTAGAATCATGCATGCTTGAAATGTTAATCCCAGCTCCC